GGTAGCTTGACCTAGTTGATTCTAGTGAGTGGATGTGGTGCACACTTGTTAAATCTAGTGCTAGATAGCTTAATTGAAGCCCAAGATCGATCGAAGACGAAACCCAACTCAAAGAGCGCAAAAATTGGTTGAGTTATTGGTGGTCTTGTGGATGAATTGGACGTGTCTGGTGTGCACTGGACCTATGCACCGGACGTGCACAGTGCTTTGGTTTTCAGTCAAAGAATAGTAGCAGCACTCTGGTATCTGGAGGATGCAGACCTGCACAGGTGCCCATGCTTTCACTGGGTGTGTCCAGTGATGCACTGGATTCCTCACCGAACATGAGTTATAGTGAGGGTTGCAAAGTGAGGTTTGAGACAATGATTTCACATGAGGTGTCCGGTGAGCATCGGACTGGTTGTATTGTTAACGACTAGTTTCAAAACTAGCCATTAGAACACGCACTAGACGTGTCCAGTGTAGAGACAAGCATAGCACCAGACAGGTCAGGTGCGCTCGTGATAGCTGAGTAGAGGGGCAAGGCTAGTTCCTTAGCTTGGGGCTATATATAGCCCTCCATCTTGTGCATTTGAGGTCTCTTGTCATTCTGAAGATTCACCTACACCCTTGTGTCTCCAAGAGAGAGCTTTGGCCTATTGGAGTGATTTGGATTTGCTAATTCAAGATTAACGACTCCATTAGTGCTTAGAGAGTAGCAAGTGTGCATACACTCTTCTCATTAGGCTTGGTTGGGTCAAGTGAGAGTTTGTGCTTGTTACTTTTGGTGATCGGCATCACCTAGATGGCTTGGTGGTGATGAAGAGCTTGGTGATCTCTCTTTGGAGCTTGTGAGATACCCAACTCATTTTGTGAGCGGTTGTGGGAAATTCACCATGCCGAAGTGGCAAAGAATAAGCCCGTAGAGAGCACTTGGTCCTTGCACAGATCATGGAGGAGCTCTACCCTTGCGTCGGTGCTCCGACGAGGACTAGTGGGGGAGTGTCGACTCTCCGATACCTCAGGAAAACATCATCGTGTTCCTTTCCATCTCTTTACATTTGTGCATTTACTTGGTGTATTTACATTCTTAGAATTGCCATGTCATTGTAGGATTGGAACTAGGTTGCAAAACTCTTATGCATAGGCTAGAAACACTATTAGGCACAAGGGGTGAAAAGGCCTAAGTGATTGGTTTCAATTCGCGAGAATTTTAGATTAGACCCCCTCCCCCACTTGGGCATCATGATCCTTTCATTAATGATGGCATACCTAAGGTTGGTCAACATGTCATTATCATAGTTAATAATAATCACTTTCTTGATTAAGCTTGAATAATTGCTAAAATATTATAACCTTAATAAGTTTAGCTATTCACACCTTAATCTCATTCTATGGTAATTAGTGAAGTAATTAACTTAAGTAAAATTAAGTTTATCCCAGCTTGTAACCTATCCTAGAGCACCTCGTTTTTTATGAAGTGGTGGGTTCTTAATCTTGGGTTCTAGATTGGGTTTTTGGAAGGGTCGGTAGTGGTTTGCTACCTTTTGACAAATTTGTTGAATCTGCATTGGCATCATTAATTCCTTTCATGGGAGATTTGCAGTGTGCAAGCTGAAAGCGTATTAGTTCAAGGGATCAGAGGAAGTTTCTAGGTAAATATGGAATGCCAAATTCTCGTAATTATCTTCTCTGTGTGTTTGCGGTTCCTCATAAATTTTTGTGGTGTCGAATTTCCAAAATTTAATGGAGAATTTGAAGTTTGTGTAGCCTTGTTGGGAACTTGTGAGATTTAAATGCGAGTTTAAAATATTAGGTGGATTTCTTCTCAGGATGCTTGTTGCTTGTATCACAGTTCTTCATTTTCATCTAGTGTGGGTTCTTGGGAGGTATTAGCTCTTGTGCTTATGAATGCTAGGATGGCTTCTTGTTCAGTATCGTCTTGGAGGTGTTGGGCATTCTTGTTTCTTTGGTTTTGCTCCGGGTTAGTTTTGGATGAGCACACAATGGGTGTTCTTGCTTTATTTCTTAGGTTTTGCTCATTGTTGGGTTTTGGTGAGTATGTAATGCTAGACATTTGCTCGAGATTTGTTATTGGAGGGGTCAGTATTGGTTCGCCACTTGTTGATAAACATGCAATAATCTCGATTATCTGGTTTGCACATTTGTAATTCTTTTCTTGTGAGAATTTTCAGCTATCAAATTTTTAAGTCTATTGTGCAAGGTTTTAGTGTTTCAGTTCACTAGTTAGAGGAAGTGTAAGTAAAAGTAGGATTCTTATGATCTTGCAATTATCATCTCAATTTTCATGATTGCTTGATCTTCTAATTGTCATCTCAATTTTCATGACTACTTGATATTGTAATTATCATCTCCCTGTGTTTGAGGTTCCTCATAGATTTTGGTGGCGATCAAATTTCAAAAGTTTAAATGAGAATTAGAAATTTGTGTTTCCTTTTTGGGAACTGGTGAGATGTAAATATGATGAGTGATCTAGCTATACTAGTTTCCTATCTTTATGAGGCTCTTATTAATTGTTCTGAATGAACAAATTGTCATATTTTCATGCAAAAATTCGTTAACAATATTAACAAGTGACTAGCTTTGTTCATTCTAAATCGACGTATGCTTTTGTGTAGTTGTGTGTGGTAATGTCTTTGCAATTCTTCTTCTTGTCAATTTTGTTGGTGCTAAAGTTTATGATATTTGAGTTCTTGAAAGTAGACCTTCTTTGAAGTATCTATAAAAGTCTAAAGAGATTTGTAGCCCACATATTTTATCAAGTGGTGACTCTTGCCTAGCAATCTCTGTGATTTATTGAATAATATTGGACTACTAGATTCTTCTTAGGCCACTAATATGTTTATTACAATGTTTCAATGAACATTGAGCTATGCAGATGGAAAGAGTAGGAAATCTAGGAGGAATGATATTTCAAGATCCAAGTGACGATCATCCATGGCTTGGTCTTACTTTGGGCCCAAGTAAAAGTGCTATTGAAGAGTTTATGCGAATGAATAGGGAGGAAGCCCATGAAGAACATAATAGGAAGCCCCCAAGTAAGTCTAGTCAAATGACATTGGTGGACTCTAGTGATGATGAAACATGGCTTCAACTTAAGTTGTCCAGAGCAAGGAAGGTCCACTGCATGTATTGCGGCAAGCCATTCTATAACCGGCAAGTTATCGGTGGACATATAGTCAACTGTAGAAGTAAGAAAAGTTTTGTATTGCTTGTTATTTTACTATTAATCACATCTTATAGATTTGTTATGTTATTATATATTACTATTTTACTTATACAATGACATTTCATTTCAGAAAATCAGCCTTCAGATGGACCTATGAAGTTGTATTGCAAGCACTGTGCAAAGGAGTTTCCTTCTTTAGCAGCCATGTCAGGGCATATGGCTAGTTGCTGAATTGCCAATGCAAATATCAGTTAGTTAGATGAATAAGAGTACAAAGAACCATACAATTGCAAAACATTCAGGATATTTGGTTACATTAGCCCTGTTCGCTTGTCTTATAATCCGTACTTTTCAGCTTGTTTTTTAGCCGGAATAGTGTTTTTCTCTCACAACAAATCAGTCAGAACAATGTTTCGGCTTGTTTTTTCAGCGAAGCGAACGGGGCCATTGTGTTGAGAAATCGATGCCTCGATCTGCTCATCGTATTCTTGGGAAGTGAACCAAACTGATGCCACTTCTTTTGTGGATCATACACTCACACTCTTATGAGTAGACCTTCACACTAATACTATTATTGGAAATCAACTCTAAACACAAAGAGAATTCAACTCTTTATTCACTGTGAACTTGATACAAGGACTCACACTTCTTCACATGTCTATGCTACCATACTACTCTTCATGTCGTCCTATCATGACATGTCACTATTTGGCTTCGGTTAACTTCACATGGTAAGTGGGATCGCAGGAGGTTAACCATTGTTGTCCTAGATCGAGGTCTTGTGCACTACGTAGTGTGAATGCAAGTAAAGCAACAAAGTTGTTACTAGTAAAAGTCATTATGTCTGCTTTTATTTCAGTGGAGCACTATTTACAATGCCCAAATTACACTTGGTGGACCAGAATGCCCCTACAGTATAGCTAGATCCGAAGCATGTTCCTAGCACTGTAGGAGAATTTGGTCCTTTTGGTCTGAGTCCATACAAGAAATTTATTCATAGAATATCTTTGTATATTTTTAAATTATAAGTTGTGTAGGATTTCCTAAATAGAGAGTAGGATTTCCAAATACTTCCATAGTAGACGGTGAAAACTGTAAAGTCCATGGATGGCATCGTGCTGCGGTGTCCGAGTGATTCATCGTCTTCCCGGAACCAACAGGCCGTTGGGTCTGAGCCCGGTGTTTGACCCAACCACACCACGCGGGACGGGGCTCCGACCCCGCGCCGACCTGGCCGTGACCGGCTCACTCGGCCTCGCTGCCGTGCCGTACCATACCGTGCCGCCCTGTTCATCGGGTCAAATGCCTCGTCTTCTTCCTCGTCGCTTCCTCTCCACCACCTCCCCACTTCTCCGCCTAATCCCCAATCCGGAACCTCACCGCGGAGAACCCCAGATCAAACCCTTCCCCCGCCCATTCCCTTTCCTACTCCCATTCCTCCAGTGCCATCCGTTTCCTCCTTACTTCCCTGCCCGCTCGAGGGAGAAGACGAAATCGGGCGAGGAATCGGGACCGACCGCCGAGGTTTCTTGATCCGGGCGCGTGATTCGCGGCGCCCAGGCACCAGTGAGAAATCAAATCAAGAACGCGGCAGGGGAAGGCCGGGGAAGTGAGACGAGGGCGCGGGGAGCAATCAAGATTGCTTCTTGGAGCTGTCGGTTCCCCCGCGCCAATGCCGGATCCGGCCGTCGGCGCCCCCCGCTCCCACGGCGCCGGGCTGGCATGCCCCCTCTGACCGCCCCCGCCTGCCGCCGCGGCTCCCGATGCTCGTGTGGTCCTCGGGAGCAGGAGAGGGAGCAGCGGCCGTCGTGGGCGGCGTCCAGGAGCGAGGATGCAGATCCGGCTGTCGCCGAGCATGAGGAGCATCACCATCTCCACTAGCCATGGCCTGCTAGACTTGATGAGGCTCAAGGTCGCCGCGCGACACTTCTCCTACCGCACCGTCTTCCACACCGTCCTCATCCTCGCCTTCCTCCTGCCCTTCGTCTTCATACTCACCGCTGTCATGACGCTCGAGGGCTTCAACAAGTGCTCCTCACTAGGTACGTGCGCCAGCAGTAGTTGCGGCTGCTGTTTCTGTCTTGTAACCATGCATATAGCTACTTTCAATTCCATTCTCCTTATGATCGCCCGTTACTGAAATGGCTGCTGCGTGCTGCTACTTCCATTCCTGAAATGTTGTCAGTACTGAAACAGTTTAGATAGTGCATCGCTTGACTAGTGATGCTCCATGTGCATGTGGTAGCACGAGATGCCTGATTCGGTCGGTGGATAACAGGAATGAGGCTGATAAACTTGGCGTTCTTAACCAGATTTTTTTTGTTATGTTGCGCACATGTAACTGCATTGGTCATGATTAGCGTGCCTTGTGCTGCTCTAGTGCCTCGTGGGGCAGCTTGGTCGCATACATCTTATGTGCTGAGCAACCACCAAGGTGCCATCTTGGTTTGCTCAAGCATCCAAAAACCGCTTATTTTGGCATATGTATGTAAAAGGTTACTCTAGAGAACGGTGGCTGCTTACGTGCCATATTAGGTTGTTTCTGGTTTGAGGCTATATGCAGCTCAGCATAGGGTGGGTTCTCATTATTTGGTTATTTGTTACAACACAGCATTGTTCAATGATGAATTCTGTTTATAAAATGTATTATATTCCTGGTCACTTGTTACTAATCACCAGCTGCTATTTTCAGATTGTCTGGGAAGACGTTTAGGTCCGCGCCTTCTTGGTAGGGGAAATGATGGTTCCATGGTACTTATATGTCCTCTATTTAATCTGTTACTTTCTTCCATTTTGAGGATTTGCTTTATTTATTTGAACTTGTATTCTAATGTGCAGAGGCTTGTGAGGGATTTGTATGTGATGCTTGATGAAGTAAATTCTGAGGAAGCACCTCTTGATTTGAAGGTTCCAGAAACTTTTGATGAATTTATCTGGGACATGAAGAATAATGATTATGATTTAAGGTCATTTGCTTTTAAGCTGAAGGCTATGGTATATTTCAGTACCCCCACTTCATTTAAACATTGGCAGTACTTGCTATGCAAACATAGACTTTTGGCAGTAAACCGTTAGCTTGAGTCAGTTCTTAGTTAATGTTGTTTGGTCATGTACAATCAGATTTTGTCATAGACACTGAATGTCCTTTTTTTTACAATCTAACGAGTATATCACCCATACTTTGCTGTGAAATTGTTTATTGGCATTTTGTTGTACTATCAACAGTTCAACACTAATGAAAATATTTTATACACTTGCATATTGTCCAAAGGGTAGTCTAGGAACATGTGTTCTATAAAAGGATCTCTTTTCAGGTAACAATGCATATGGTTTCAGTGTCCCACAAACTTACGCCCTTTCACCTGAATGGTATCTAATTGAACCATATCCCAAGTATTTTCAGATCTGATGGTTAATAACTAGTCTTGATCAAATGATGTAATTAGGATTCTACATTAGGACTCAATTTTGGAGTAAAGAATGATTACTAGCCTCCATCTACCTGACTCTAAATCTTAAGTTATTTTACAGCAGATCAGTATGCCATAGAAATTGTTAACTTTTTTTTTTACTTACACAGCGTCCTACAAAGCTAATGCACTTAGTGTGAGTGGTTGACAACCTAAAATTTTAATATCACCTAGTGTGTCATGATGATACCGATACAACTTTCTCTACTTTGTTCCTATTAGCAAGTTGCTGTTCTTATTCTGATTTTCCACATTATGCCATGCAGATGGAGAGCATGGATAAGGAATTGAGGTCATCAAGGTTATCGGAGCAGTTGAACAAGCACTATGCTGCAATTGCTATTCCTAAAGGCCTTTATTGCCTTTCATTACGTTTAACTGATGAATACTCCTCAAATGCCCTTGCAAGGAAACAACTACCACCCCCAGAGTTGGTGCCTTGTCTTTCGGACAACTCCTATTACCATTTTGTTTTAGCATCAGATAACATCCTTGCAGCCTCAGTTGTCGTCAGATCAACTGTTAGATCATCACTGAAACCTGAGAGGATAGTTTTCCATGTTATTACTGACAAAAAGACCTATCCTGCCATGCATTCATGGTTTGCTTTAAATTCTCTCAGTCCTGCTATTGTTGAGGTGAAAGGTGTTCACCAATTTGATTGGTTAACAAAAGAAAATGTTCCTGTACTTGAAGCTATAGAAACTCAGCGCACTGCCAGAGATCGTTACCACGGAAGTCACCATCCAAGAACCAGTGCTAGTGATAGCTCAAGGGTTTTTGCAGCCAAGCTGCAGGCAGGAAGTCCAACATATACTAATGTGCTCAATCATATTCGAATATACTTGCCTGAGGTATTATAAATTTCTTCTGAATATTATTTTACTGTTTCTTACTTAAGAGGGAAGGAAGTCCAATTACAGTTTTTGTCGGCTCTGACATATTTGATGAACAAGTAATCATGCTAATTGATAGAAGGATGGTTTGAAACAATAAAAACTGCAAAAGAATTGAAAGTATTTTAGTCTTTTACTCTGTAGAATTACCCACTGTGGACCTGTTCTAGTTTGCTGGTCCTTCTGGGATCAAGAAGTGATGCTGCCCTTTTCTTGAGATATCTGGAGCTCTCTCTGCATATAGTCTATATATACAAAATTTGTATATGGTACAAACTTGTTCAAAATGCAATTATATTTGTTGACCTACATCCTTTTTTTGCTGAAAGTTCCACTGATTTAATCTGTAATCTGTGGACGCAGTTGTTCCCAAGCCTCAACAAGATCGTATTTCTTGATGATGATGTCGTTGTCCAGCATGACCTATCACCACTTTGGGATATCGATCTAGCTGGGAAGGTTAATGGTGCTGTTGAGACTTGCAGAGGTGGAGACAGTTGGGTGATGTCTAAGAGGTTCAGGAATTATTTCAACTTTTCTCATCCCCTCATTGCAAAAAACTTCGACCCTTCAGAGTGTGCTTGGGCATATGGTATGAATATTTTTGACCTGAATGCATGGAGGAAGACAACAATCAAAGATAAATACCATCATTGGGTCAAGGAGGTAAGAATAGATATCTTTTTATGGCCATTTTATAGTATAACGAGTTAACAGATATGTGCGAACATAATTGTCTTTTACTTGTAGCATAGTTCCAAAAGACACCAAATAAAGAAAAAAAAAATCAATACATGCCTTCTGATTTGCTTAAAAGTGATCGAAAAAGCATATGTGAGAGATTTTATCAGCATTACTTTCCAGTTTAGTTGATTATTGAAACTATCTACAGTCTAACCTGTATTGTTACATTTGAAAGTACGAATTGATGAGCTTCCATTCTTGTTCCTCTGCATGCAGAACCTGAAGTCAAACTTCACACTTTGGAGGCTTGGAACATTACCACCAGGCCTTATAGCATTTAAAGGCCATGTTCACCCAATTGATCCATCATGGCATCTGTTAGGCTTGGGTTATCAGGAAAAGACAGATATCAGTAGTGTTGAACAAGCAGCAGTTATACATTATAACGGGCAAAGTAAACCGTGGCTGGAGATTGGTTTTAAACATCTTCAGCCATTTTGGACAAAATATGTGAACTACTCAAATGAATTCATAAGAAACTGTCATATAATGGAGCCTCAGTTGTAGATTGTCGTGACAATATAAATAAAAGCATATATTAAGTGAAATTAAATTCGTTATTTTGGAGATCAACAGCAGAGAGTTTATGAAGGGTAACCGGGGAGCTCAGTAATCCCCTCACATGGTTACATGCGCTGATGGAGAATATTCAATGAACAGAAAGGAAATGTTATTTTTTCCCATTTACTCTAGGACCCTTTTCCTTTAATTTATTCCATTTGTATCATAGCTCATGAAATTACGATATTGTTTAGGATGGTTCTTTTGTATTTGATGGAGCAATATATAAGTTGAATTGATGGTAGTCCCATCATTATTGTAATTGATGAAGAGTATACACAGTTCACCATGTGAAAAGCATGGATTTTGATTATGCAAAGCAAACCTTGTATGCTTGTTACTTATTCTTCGGTTCTCTGAAGCCTGATCATCCCAAAAGACTAACCATCTGTATTTGTGAATTCCATTTGAATCAACATTTTTTTTTACAGAAGAAAAGCCCAAAAGACTAACCTTCTGTATATGTGAATTCCATTTGAATCAACATTATTTTTTTTACAGAAGAAAAAGCACGGATTTAACTAATTTTAGTCATTGGAAAGATCAATACAGCTGTGAACAGAATGCAATTCACTGGCACATCAGCAAGTTCGATGGCACAGTTTCCTCTGGAATTTGATTGATGCTGAACATTTCTTTTCTGAGATGTTGATGAACTGTACAAAGTACAATGACATCAGTTATTCAGTATGACATCACCTGGAGACTATATTCGTTGGGAAAATGTGGATGGCCCAATTGGGGCACAAATCAGAAAACGAACACATATCTTTACAGTGACCTTGTTCTTCAGAAATCTCTATTATATATATAATCAGAAAACCTCGTGATATTCTATCTCAAAACTACAGATTATCATCGGCCACAAGCTTCAGCCTCAAAGTCAGGGAAGACGACAAATGCAATGGTCAGAGGGGCAACATAGATTGGTGAGTTAACTGAAACTTCCACTGGATACAATGGAGGGATGTCACCATCTTCAGTGAGCTCAAGAGGTACTCCATTAAGCAGCATGGTCCGGGCAAAAGGGTTCCCATCTTTCGCCGAGAGATGGTACTCCTCCCTCTTAGAAAAGCCATCGGAGGCTTTGCTCCCGACCCAAGAAACCGTTCTTTTCAGGCCATGGACAAAGGCATTGTCCCTTCTGATCCCTCGCCCTTCTGCGAGATTGACATTTAGGTCGTTCCTGACTGAAACCATGAAGCCCATGGTTCGGTGCAGGTTCAGCAAGAGAAGAGCAACACCACCCTGTAGTAAAAATATTTTGAAAGCCAAGAATCAGCCATCTGTTAATTTGAAATCCCATAAAACTCAGCTAAAAGGCTGACATAACTGCAGTTGTGCACTAAGATTTCAATATTTGTTTCAATTAGTTAAGCTTGTGTAAGCAATCATTGAGTAATCAACATTGTGTTTCTAAGAAGACATCTTAGGGTAGACTTGTACCTTTTGCTTTGCGCAATGCACATAGGCACGCAAGTACGAAGAACCACTGATGTCTATGGAAAGAACACGTGTCCCCATGAGCCGATGCCACAGCAAGGCACTGAACAGATACTATGGTTCAGTCCAATGCATATGGAAGTAGTAAATCAAGTTTGTAGCGGCATATTTGGTACACACACTTACCTGTAGTAATCTGGGTTTGGTACAAAAGTGTCGGTGTCAAGAAGACCGTAATTGCCACCAATCAGCGTCTGTCTACAATAAACCTTGGTGTCATACTTTGCTGACTGACCCAGCTGATCAAGATACCTAGTGGAAACACAGAGGTGAGAATGATTTAAAAATAATGATGGTAAAGATGTGAGTATTTTTTTTTTCATCTGACAAGTGATCACCAGAAGCTATTGAGAAAAGTATTGGACACGAGTCGGCTGCCACTATTATATGCACCACCAGATTCGCCAACCCATGGAGCAGACCACGGTCCATGGCGTTGTATGGTGAGTTGGAGACTTCTGAATGTATCGGAGGTCCGGCTCAGATACTGTGGGTTCAAAATTCTGTTTGGAACTTGTGGATCATTACCTAATCAAGATTGAAATTAGCACAATTATGTCCCCTCAATGTAAGACATAAAACAAAATTTTCTCAAGGAGTAGAGCCAAAATAATATCTGGAAGGACTCACCAGCACCAAGATTGTAAATATGATGAGTCATTGCATTGAGAACATTTGGCCCGGAGACATCGAGAAGCTGAGCAAACCATTTTTGGTCATAAAATCCTCCTGGGGCTACAACCAGTGGTTTGCTGGAATCTCCGTATAACTCGTTGATGATGGTTTGAAGTTCAACTAGGTCTTTTCCATATTGTTCAGCTGACACACTCGCACCAATTCCACTTCCACTCAGTTCATTACCTATGACACGAACACAGCATCTTATATAAGCATTACATGAATATAATACATCCCCAACTCCAAGAGCATTAAGCAAGAATTTTATAACATTGCATTACCAAATTCCCATGAATCTATAGGATAGTTCTTTGAAACAGTGTATTCAATGAATTCTCGAGCATTGCTAGAATTCCAGGGACCACCCCAAACACCTTTTCTTGTCTGTTGTCGTCCTTGAAGCGTTGAGACCAAATGTAACAACTGCACTGAAGGGAGAAAATAATGTAGAATTAGGAAACAGATATGTGAAATAATATGCTATTTCAAAGCAACAGAATATGGATATCCTTGATGTAGGTTTATGGAAAGAATAAGTTACAACATGTGGTACATTCGACAATCCATACTATAGTAAACCTCTTCAAGAAAATGCAGAGAACGATAAATAAACAATTATAGAAGGAAGGACTCACCCAGTATTCAGGAACAGATCATTAATATCATCCCATCTTTCCAAGGTTATGCATCCTTGAGAAAACCCAAAAAGGCCACTTGAAACCTTTGTAAATGGGTCGCATGACGATCCTAAATTTGGTGTGCCATATAACACTTGATCTTGTAAAGAGCCTCCAACTCTGATTCGTAGTGGACTAAAGGCTACAAGAACAAGAGTGGAAAAGGAATATATTCAAGATGGAAATATGCTGAGTCATCATATTATGGAAAAGAATAGTATTTTTTTTTGGTGGCTTGGTAAATAAACATGGCATAGACTACATAATGGTACATTTTAGCAATACATCAATCATACATTAGATGGGGTACACTCTACCAATGTTTTGCCTTCTAAATTTAGGTAGTGTAAGAAATGATCTCCATATGTGAGTTCACCATTGAATGTTGTAGAATCACTCAATTAAGTAGTTAAAGATATTCACCTTGGATAGCTTTAGCCAACAAAGGATTAGTCAAGTCCTGGGAAAATTCACAAAAGGACCAAAAATTAGTTTTCGCCAGTACCAACCACATGATAAAACGGTTGTCTTGGGAACTAACCAAATTTAAGACAGAAGCCCTTCCCCATGGACACTGGTCGTAGTTACACTTCTCTGGAGGCCACCAATCAATGGTGGCGCAAACAAACTCGTCACTGGTCGAAGCAATCGTCTCAGAGCCTCGAACAATGACAGTTACATCCGAGTAATCATCTGATCGAACCCGCGCAGGCAGACAGAGCAGAGGCAAGAGAAAGAGAGACCATAACCTCATGCTTCCAGAACCTGCAAACGGTGGCATCAACCAAAAGGACACTTCCCAATTAGAATGGCTCGGACTTATTATAAATATATGGGAAATAGTTGGTAGGGAAAGGTCTAATTTCTACTCCATTAGTAAAGCTGAACGTGACTCCTGCCGTTTCAACTTTGTCTATATTATCTGTTCTTCTTTTAAGAGGTCAGAATTCAGTACGTGGAACTGTTCAGCTTTCTTTATTGAACTATTTAAGTAGACCACTTTGTTGATGTCTCAATCATGAAGCTATGATTCGCCCTATGGCACTAAGTCACCTTGAAATATCTACATTTTAGAATAGGATCAAGATAAGCTCATCTATGTCTTCATGTAGAGAAAAACATTTTTCCTTTTCTCTGAGAAAGGAGGAATTTCATCAGTAGGATAGAGAAGCAAAAGCACTCAGATCCACAAAATGCTTCTCTCGAATTGCCAGCGAAGGCCCCGTGACATTGTACTTTGCTCTCTGAGATGGGAAAGAAACCTGCACCTTGTCATCCAAATCGAACGAGACTCGCATAGAAGGAAACTGAATCCTCTAAGAGCACCCCAATTGGTCCATGGAATCACACAAAACTCTCTCCCTTCCCAACAACCAATTGAACAACATCGAACCATGAACTGAAACAGCGCAGACGCGCTACATCCAAACACCCGACGCCCGCGGCAACCCGCTGCAGATTTTATCTACTGAACCGAGTAAATAGAGCTGAAATCCAAGAGAGCCGGAGAAAAAGCCATCATTACCTGAATAACCGCAAGGAGCCCAAGAACGCCCGCGAGTCGGCTCAGGTGCTCCCCAGACCGTCGAAGAACAGGACCTCCTCTCGTCCTAATGCAGGCGACAGGGCAAATCAAGAAAAGCTCGAGTCTTTCGCCGCAACCCCAGGCCCCCGTCAGCTGGAATCAGACGCGCGGGGGTGGCTTTTTATGATCGCGCGCAGCTCGCGCTAGTGGATAAAGAGTGGGGGTGCGGGGAAGAAGAGGCTGCAGATTCTTGAGGAAATCTCGGCGGTGGTTGCCGCTTCGCTTTGTACTGTGGTCTGTATCTACTCTCTCCCTTCCAAGCTACTCCCTCCCTCGCCGAGAGAAAGCTACTACCAAACAGCTATGGTTTTGTTCGCATCACTCGTGTCCTGAAAAGTCACAGCTGCGTTGTTCTTTTCAGGGGGACTGTGCGTTTGTTTTGTGGGCAGACTCCTCACCAGAATCTCAAGGCAACAGAGCGGGGATTAAACAATCACCGTGTCTGTAGCCTGTAGGCCAGGCTGGATTAGGGGGAGAGAAAAAAAACTATCCTGATTCCAGACCCTGAAATGGTGTTGGGTGCAGAGATGGGATCAAGGTTCCAGAATGGCAGAATCCAAATGTTGGACTTGGCCATGTTGGGTCGGCTGGAAAAACGGATGATGCTGATGCTGATGCTGATTTGTCGTGAGAGAAAAACACTGATATTTCGCTGAAATGGTACGGCTGATAAGTTCACGCGAACAGGGCTTGCTTTCTTGAAATTTGGAAATGGTATTATGGAACTTGTAAAAGAACTTTGCTAGAGTGAGTCAATTCTATGCAGCTGCAATCGGACTTTCCTGGTCATCATTTCTTGATATGCAACATCTCATTGGACTGCGGAGAGCTGGTCAATGGTGGCAGCCGGATGTGGGGTTAGTGGCAGAGATGTGGGCCCTAGGAGGCACGAGGCAATATGGCTGTTCGTTTGAACTCATCGGTCTGACTTATCAGTGAATGGTACATAGTGCAGTTATCTGCATTCAGCAAACAAGTATTATTCCTCGAGTTCGTTCTTTCTTCTTCTTTTCTTTTGATTGCTTGCTTACAACCAAGATAAGCATGCTCTACCTCGTAATGATGAAACAAAACAGCATCAAGGTTGGGAAATGACAATTATCGTCCAGATCCATGGCTTGAAGAAAGAGCAAGGGTTGGGAGGCTTCTGAGATGGGGATAGGGATGTCTGCTTGCTGCTGCAATGATGCAAGTCGGAAGTCAAAGTCTCACGTTTGATTCTGAAATGGTGAAGATGAGGGGGCGTCCATGGAAGTCAAAGATCGACCAAATCCGCATCACCTTGTCGACGCAAGATGCAAAGCCCGGGGATGTGCTTTCTATCCACTTTCCTCAGCGTGCAACTTGCAGCTTTGGTGAAAAGCAGGAATGGGAGGGATGCCTGTAGGCTGTAGCTGCAGCTTTCCCATGGTTGAAAGCTTGCATCCGATCATCAGATCCCTATCCATTCCAGTAGACCTCTCACGTCAGTCAGACCATGATGTGCACGTGAACTAAACGGCCACTGTTGTCTATGTGATCCCGAATTCTGTCAGCATTGGTTAGCTGAAACAAAAAAAAGAGATATGCTAAATTGTTTAATTTGATTATCTTCACATAATTCTAATAGCCACAGTTGCAGTCCTATCAGAGATGTGTGGCTGGTGGTGGTCAGTTTCCGGATGACCAAAATGCCCTCTGCACAAACATGTTCTTATTTCTTAACCATCAATCCCCTGTTCATTTCGCTGAAATTTGGCTGTTGCTGATGTTGATTTGTTGTGAGAGAAAAACAATGTTCGTTCGCTAAAAAGTACCGCTGAAAAACAGGGCATCGCCTTCATTGTCATTCTGATATGATGTCACATGTTGCATTCCTTGTAGATATATTATGTTCTTAATGTCTTCGTCAACGCTGATCTCTCACACGCTGCATATGATTGATTCTCTCTCGCTTGGTACATGTGCAGTGGCTGTAGCCCGTAGGAAGATGCTCCAAATGGCATGCATGCCACGTAAGGCATGCTCATCCATGTATCCACTTCAATCCAAAAGCACGTCATATGCATGCTTCCTTTGCCTCTTACACAAATGATAGGATATGCTACATATATGCTCATCTATTCCACTTTCGGATTTTGGATGCCTCAACTGCTCCAAAGACCAAAATCATAACCCGGCTGATTCCGTGTTGGAACTCTTTCTAGCTGGGTGGGGTGGCTAGCTGCTGATTCCTCGAATGTTGACTTTGGCTCCGTTCGCTGGTTGGTTTCAGAATTGATAAGCCCGGCTAGTGCTTGTTTGTTGTGAGAGAAAAACACTGTTGACTGACTGATAAGCCTTAGCTGAAATCAAGCGAACAGGCTGTTTGTATTTTAGTACATTCGTCAATCATATAAATATAATATAAAACCAAAACTGGGCCAGCGATATCTTAGAATAAACATCTAGTGTTACTTCAGGAACCATAGCATTGGACACTGGCGTGATCACAAAAAGAAAATGTAACTTTAACCAGGAGTAATATTTCATAATAATATTTACATAATCCATTTGTTTTGCAAAAACATCATCCATTATGTTGGCGTAGCCATTATGGACAAAAGTCATTTCTTTAGTGTGGGTGGTTTACCATTTTGTTAAGTACTTCCTCCGTTCCAAATTATAAGTCGCTCTGACTTTTTTTTGGTACATCATTTTACCATACATCTAGATATAATAATATGTCTAGATACATAGCAAAATAGATGAACCAAAAAATTCAAAACGACTTATAATTTGGAACAGAGGGAGTAGAAGATTGGGAAGAATTTAGAATGAAATTAAGTAGAAATAACATGGATAATTTGTATTAAAAGGTTGAAAGTTAATGGCATGACATGACTTTAATGGAAGATGGTGTGAATAGTTAGTGAGAAATAATGTGGATGTCATGCATGTTAAGATAGAACTTTCATTAGAGATTAGTTTTATAAGAGATATAGATACATGCCTGAAAATTTTCTTGCTAATTGCTTTTCAAGTAAAGATAGAGTGAAAAAGGAAATTTTCTCTAGGACGTGTTGTGTATATGATTTTAAAATTTTCAAATATAAATGTTACAAGCAATATTTTTTTTTTACAAATTATTACAAGCGATAGTCTGACTTCATTCGTTCCAAAACGACAAAGTAACTTGAAGAGAAGTATTTAGTTATATTCCCCCCTCGTGCACAAGAAACATAATACTTGCTTGGCAGATCCACTTGGAATTTAGAATGCCTCCGATCCTCCTTCGTCCATTGTTTGCCGGGTTCGACTAGTTCAAATCAGCAACTCCAAATTGGAAAATTCCAAAGCATAACCTTCTTAATTATCGTGTTAGCTGCCTCGTTTATTTTATTTTAATTAAAAAAATATGTGGACTCTGAATTCCATCCCATCCGCCCAATATTTCCAAATATGGGCCTGGGCCGGTCTTCTCTTTCTACTACCTCTAGTTGCTCCAAGAGCCCGTTCTCAAAGGTTTGAGCTCCTGAATCGCTTTGACCAGGTCAACTTCCCATCTGGCTTGGACCGGCCTCTCAACGGTCAACGGTCCAGTCAAGCCAGCAAGAAAGACCAAAACGCTCTTCAAAATTAAATTGAGCATATGTAACATATGACTTGTGCTGGTGAGTGGAGATATCAGCAGGAGTGACATATGGACAAATCTGCCAGCATATGCAGCGTGTAGTTGTAAACTTAAAATGCAGTGAAATGAAGCTAAAAACATAGAAAACAAAATTCTAAAAAAAACATAGAAAACGTTGACAGAAGGTTAGTACCATTTTCAGGAATCAGATAACACAAAGTTTAATCTGGCTTATCCTTTTCATTTCCTTTTCAAACAAGCCATTTTAAATCATTACAGTAACTTGCTTACTTATTTGCATTACAATGCCAAGCCTTGCGCAAACACAAAATCTGTACGAACTTTACTTTTTTTCTTTTTTTTTATGAAGTACTACGAACAAACTTAGGAGGTGTTCGGATCTGGTGACTAAAATTTAGGAGGTGTGTCAGAAGAGTGTTGCATAGGGTATTCGGATATTAATAAAAAAACAAATTACATAATTCGTCAGTACTCCACGAGACGAATTTATTAAGCCTAATTAATCCACCATTAGCACATATTTACTGTAGCACCACATTGTCAAATCATGGACTAA